TCATTTTTTTTAATGCAAAGTAGATGTTGTTCAAAAATATTATTGACACTCATAATTGATGGTAGTATAGCTTTAAATAGATTAAAGCGTAATATAACGAAGATGTTTTATAGAATCGAGTACAAGAACGTTAAAAGAAACTTGCAGCGATCACGTAACTACTTTGCCATGCATCACCGTACCCTAAGCGTTAAACGCAATTTATTTACTTTGGTAAAGACTTTAATAACTTCGCACAACCCACACGATGTTCCAATTTCGTCACAGAATTGTGTTTTCCAAAGCTATATCGATCCGTGTCGGGCAATTGGATAATGTTCATCGATCTTCGAATTTATTCGCGTTGCGGTTCTCAACTTCGGCTAATATAAAAGTTAGTGATTGGTGATATCAACCTGCGAACGCAATTTTTTCAAGCTTACGAATTCGAGTCACGATTAAAAATCAAGAACAGGTTTTAACTATAATTTTTGCATACCACGTGTTTACTATCGAATCTTATATTCTACTCTTTATTTAAAGACCGCGATTTCTCTCGGGCTGAAATTAATCTCCTCGGCTGATTCGATCTAGATCCCGTAGGCTCGTTCAGGCATAAATCCGCGGGGCTTAGTAAGAAATTCATGGTCAACCAGGAGTGTCCCACTTTCCGACAATGTTCGCAACGCGCACAGTCGACGTCTTATCTACAGAGAGAGAGTGTGGGCGTGCAGGCATAATGCCGAACATTCCTCGCGAGTGCAACGACGCGGTTCGTTGAACAAAGATGCAAATTCGAAGATCGTAACACATAACAAGCCGGGCAAATCTTAACAGCCGGTTAAATGAGATGAGCGATACAGAAGGTAAGCTTGCTTGACCTAGTCAACTGTACAATTTTTAATCAAGCCTTCGTTTGCAAACGCTTATCAATTGTTATCTACAAGATAACCGGCGGAGAGACTGCGAATTCTTATACCAAAAAATGAGTAACCAGTAAGTGTATATCTGCCTATCATTAGTTTTTCTTATTTTCGGTTTTCCGTTTCGTTTATTGACAAAAGGATAGATTCATGTATTCGATGGTCGCAACCGATCGATATTTTTAGCCATTACGCGAGGTCGTGTCCCTGACTATGTCAATACATTTTAAACAGCGTTACTACTTTTGTTAACGAGAACAAATACGTTTCTATCAGGTCTAGTAATAATTAATGTAATTTTCCAATACATAAACGCACACTAAAAAACGACACTAATTATTACTAGACCTAATACTAATTGTCAGGCAAGGAGCGTGTTCCACCTCGAAAATTATATAGACATATCAATCTCTTATCCGTGCGATCGCGTAGGCACGAACACGGTACGATCAACTCCCACGCATAAATTGGTCTGCGTACTTGTTATTGGAACAAATAACAGTACGATTATGTTTGCTTCGTTTCTGTATTATATTTCCCTCGACCTCTGTTTCATTATTTTACCGACGCTGGTGTATGCCTAGTAAACAGTAAGCCGAGCAACGTCTCCTCGTAATTGCGTTTAATTTGGCCCGTTAAGAGTAGCAACGAAACTTTAATCGGCGAATGCTTGTTTATTCAGTTAACGTACTTTCAACACACTTCCAAAGATGAATCGAGATGATTCATCCAGAAGAGTATTTAGGAGTGCGAAATCGTTTCTCGCCAAATTCCTCTAAATATAACATTCCCGACGCTTTAATTGTTAAATGTCAACGCGTTCCAACCGATTTCTGGTTAATTCTGTCTGACATGACTCGCGCAAAAAATTGCATATCGCCTGAGTCATGCAAAAAATTGCAACTCTTCGCATGGCTTGCCTAACTCACCGGGATAATAGCTGACGTTCCCAGAGGTTGGACCGAACAGTCTGTTTCCGCGGGACTTTCACGTGGACTCTGGATGCACTTAACAGGGACGACACGAACACAGCCACCAGATCACGACCCGATAACTTCGCGAGGTCCGCGAACGGCTCCGGTGCCATTCGTGCGACGGGAGCTAATGGTTGCGAGACGATACTCGTAACGATCGTTAAGGACAAACTTAATAATAGTAGCCGGATATTTTACTATAGATCGCGACTCGTCCGATTGGTCGGACCTAAGACGAATTCATGACTGGCAGCCACTTTCTGCATATATCGCGAGCATCGAGCCAAAATCGTCAAGCGAAGACGCTCACGAAACCCACGCTGATATAGGTAACATCGCGGGGGAGCGGTCACGCACACGCGTGCTATACAGTCATTTACAAAAGTACATGTGTCCAACGCAATAGGACGTCTAATATTTATTGTTTCCTAACTCGAAATTCCGAGAAAGCTACGATAGTTTACTATTATCCAGAAATAATTGCAACTTGAATGATTTTTATGGAAAATAACACTTTAGTAATATCAATTTAAAAAATGAAATGCAAAAGAGAATATTCTTTATTTTTTAAACGTCATGATGTGCATTTCTTACTTGATTAACTTAACTTGTTATTGCATATTTTTTTATAAATTAGATGCATTCTTTACGGTTTCTCATACAAATAAATAAAATTCAGACATTAAACCTGACATTTCTGTAACAAATAGCTTAAACTGCGAAGGTAGATAAAAGAATATGTTTTGAAAAATTGTGATTCGATCACGAAAACATGAAGATAAAAATAATTACAAACTGCTTAATGACAGTATACGTGTTTATGCGAATGAGTAGGCGTATGCACTGGAGAATTACAATCCGCATGGAACTGCACTTTTTTGTAAATTAATTGCTGCATAATTAAGATTATGCTATTTTCCTAATCGTTCATTATTATGAATTTATTCAATTGATATAATAACTTGAATAACCTAGACTGATCGGGCTAAGTGATTACGATGTTTGTATAGAGATAAGGATAAATTGAGAAACTTGGAAGAGTTACTCAACATGTTGACTTATGATAATTGAACAAATTTTTGCAAATTTAGTATTTTTTACAATGCTGTAACATAATTTAGTGCGATCGAAGTATTATGACACGAGAGGTCATCGAACTCGACGCATCGCTTTCCACTTGTCTGTTACTTAATCGAACGTTAGAAAATAAGGTCTCTGCAAATTATTTTTACGACATCTCGTAGTACTTTCGCATTTTAATTGCTATAGCTTGTGCCTCTAAAATAAAATAAATTAGTTTTATTGTAGACTCCATTTATGAAACATTTCACAGCATATTGAGTGAAAGTGGCGTTTTTTCTTGCGAACCTAAATTACAGATTTCGACAACTGTAAACAGTTTCGTAACAATATATTGACATTGAAAGAAAACTGTACGTATAACAAACCGCTACCTTTTGCTACCTAATAACATATCGCATATCAAGTCAAGTTTCAAGGTTTTATCTTTCATGAGTGAAAGATATTGTTTTCTTTGCTGACAAAACGTAACGTAACAGAACAATACATTTCTGAGAAAGAATTTTGTGAACACCAGGAAATACGATCGAACTGTACGGGTGCTAGAAAACATCGCGTTAAGTAACACTAATTGCACACGTAATTTATTGCTCGAGCAAACTCGAGGAAGTCGCACTAGCAGTAAAAAAGATTGCCTATTCTTTTTCTCAACGTCTCCTTGGACGCAGAGAAAAATACAGTCATAAAGAGTTAAGGACATAACCTTTGAAATCTTTTATCTTTTCCATGAGTAAAAACGGAACGAGACATGAGGTCCATTTGGTCACAGGATTATATGTATGAGAGTCGCGAACGTTGCAGGAGTTTCCCTTTTGTTTACATAACAGAATAATGTTATGCATGGCATAACTTCACCACAGATGTAACGTGCACAAATACTAACTTGCGAAACTTTTCGACTAAACCCGTTCAGCATCATAAGTTTTCTGATATAAAATCGAAACATAACTATCTAATGTGTCATATATGTGATTTGTTATTTACATGCACAAGTGGCATATCTTTAAAATTTTATCTTCATTGCTCATCAGTGTACATTATGCTAAAATCTGTATCAAATTTTATTCTTGTAGATTAAGTCGTAAATGACTGTTTTCAGATCACATAAAAGCTCGATTGTAGATTGTCGGATAAGGCAACACTTTCTAGCGAAATTGTCAGTAACGAAACAATGCATATTGATGCAATATATTCAGGATTTTCATAGCTCGCATCACAGGACCTAACCTAAATATCGGTTTGTACTTTTGGTATTCACTCACCCCTTCGCGGTTTGGCGCCAGGATAATTCACCAGTTACCCAGACGGGTGCCGCTCGTTCAACGTTTCGGCCGAAAATGTCCTCGTATCTAACGTTCACCGATCCATTCCTTGCACGACATCCTTGCTCCAGCCGCGCGATCGTTAATACGTCGAATAAACACGCGGTAATTCGTTCCTGTCGAATTGCGCGTCCGCGATCGACTCGTATTCGAAGCAACAACACACATCACAAACGCGGAACTTGTATTCAACCGCGAGAGCGACGACGTTCACTGACGTTTACTGATCGACACCGGTGTCACGAATGCGACTCGCTTTTGTTTACTCTCTTCGTTCGATGTCAGCAGGTGGCGCACGACGAGGTGGGGACCCGGTTTTGTTTCCTCATTTTTTGTTTCCACAATGTTAATTTTGTTACGACAATGACGCAATTTCAGCCCAGGTAGGCTTTTGTTGCAAAGGAACAGAAAGGTTTTCTGATTAACGTATGATGCTACCTTTCTCATCGATTTACTCATTTCAAAATTGCAGCTTACTTTTCATGATAAACAGCCTTGAAGATATAATTTAAGTTTACAAAAATTAGTTTTATAATATCAATCAATATGGATATTACGCTTTCATACACCAACAGATATAATGTGTGAAATCAGGCTCGAATGAGTCGAATAGAAAATTGTGAAATTAGCCGATAATATCAAAAACTTTATTATCGATTCACTTGTGTGGCGTTCTTGATCAGGATCATGTATTTTTATCTTTGTATTCAAAATTGAAAAACTAGGTATATTTGTCTTCTTTATTTATTTACAAGTTACAAGCATTTTTGACATGTAAGGACCGTCGAGTTCATATCCCATCTTTCTGTAGTAATTCCTCGTTCCAACTCCTAAACAAAATCATACATATAATATTTATATTTATAATAAAAACTTAAAATGTATACCTGATATGACAGAAATCTTATGAGAACCATGCTCTTCTCTCGCTATCCTTTCTGCTTCCTCCATTAGTAACATTCCAAAACCTTGGTGTTGAAACTTTGTGGGATCACGAGCATTTACAGGAACGACACTCCCGTAAACATGAAGTTCTCTTACTATGGAGCATTTGTCTTTAAGTTCTGACCTAAGGAACGTATTTAATTAATATAATTGTGTTCTCTTTTAATAGCTGCCCGATATTTTTGACAAATTTACTCCACCTAAACGTTTCACTAGAGCATTTCCTCAGCCTTAATAAACCGACTAAGATATCTTGCATAGGATCTTCATAGGCTAAGAATGTTTCCCATCCACCATTGGCAACGTAATCGCGACGTACAAGTTCTACTTCATACGGCTTTACTTTATGATGAATTTCTTGGATGCCTACTTCTCGCGTTCGAACATCGCGGCAATCGATTCTCAAATCCTTCATTCTTGCCAATGCCAGTTCACGAAGATTTCCGCGTTCCACTCCCGAACTATACATTTAAAGTAAAACTAAACAAACGTAACAATAAATTATAATACGTATACATAAATTAGTATTACCTAACTAAAGGCATAGGTATATCTCTTTGTACACGATATACACGAGTCCAAGGTGGTATAAGAGCCAAGATACGAGCTATAAGGTCCACCAAAACGCTCGGTTGATAACTCGTATACCTTCCTGTTTTCCATAACTCATAGAGGCCTGTACCGCGTATAACTAGAGTTGGATAAATTTTCAAACCGTCTGCCCTAAAAGCAGGATTTTCAAAGAATTCCTGAAAGATATATATCCTCCTAATTAAATTAAATACAAAAGAAAAAGAATCCATAATTAATTAAAAATACAATTACAATGAACTGATTAACATCTCTTTCGATATCCACGTTTGGTAAATCCGGCATCATGTGCGCTATCACTTTAAAGCCAGTATCTTTCGACAATTGAAAACTCTCGCAAACTGCGCGGACAGTGTGTCCCCTGTTAGTATCTCGCGCTACATCTTCGTAAACAGACTGCACTCCAATTTCTAATCGAGTACACCTAAATTAAATGTACTCAATCATGAAGATCTTATTGTCATCGATTTCTAAATACACGTACCCGTAACGCAGCATGTCAGACAAATGTTTCTTAAGGCAATAGTCGGGTCGTGTCTCAATAGTAATTCCGATACATTTCGTGCGACTTCGTTCGGAGTATTTTACTGCCTCGTCGACGTTACTACTCACATGGCCAGACAGAGCGTCGTGTAAGTTTCGAATGAAATAGTCTCTGTAATCTTCCGGCAGAGACATGAATGTGCCTCCCATAACAATAAATTCAATTTTGTCCACATTATGTCCTAATTGTTTCAACTGCAATCATATTTTGTAATCATTGTTTAATAACATTCTATGCTGAAACTTCTGAGTCTACCTGTTCCACACGATGTCTTGTTTGTAAGAATGGATTATATCTAGCTCGAATGGCCCTCATAGATGTGGGCTCGTAACCGGTGTAAGATTGTGTCGAATACTCGAAATCAGAGTCAGGTCCACCAGGACAATATACACAGATATTTCCTGTCATATTGATATGAGGACACCTGTGAGGTTTGCACATTACTGCAACAACAGCTATCTGTAAATAAATTAAATTACCCATTCAATGTACATTTTTATCTACTCATGCTTCAGAGTTTATAATAATTATATCTATTAAATTTTCAAAGGAATTAAAATATAATTAAAATACTAACACCACTGGCTGTCCTAATGGGTTTCGCTTTTAATTTTGGTATCAATATATTTCTAGCCTCGACAGGCACAGCTGCTATAATATCAACCAATCTTGGTGAAGTTTCTAACCCATATTTAGAAGAGATTCGTGTTTTCAGCTTATTCAAATCAACATCTCTGTTTTCATTATGTGCTTTCAGCAGATCTTGTATAATTTCTCCTATTGTCATGACCATACGTTCTTCTTTACTCTGCTCGAATTCTGGAGATAGATACAAATAAAATAACAAAATAATTTACTGTACATCAGTTGAACAAAAATACAGAATTATCGCACTTTGTAATAATAATAAATACCTCTTTTTTTTTTAGTCATCTTAATATTTTTATATAAAAGTTATCGATGTTTCTAGCAATATCTTCTTTTGTAATGTATAAACACTTGTCAATATTAAGAAGCAATTTAACCTACGTATACTACAAGTACTACATGTGCTTGCGTTGGCTAACGTTGACCATCAGCCATGATGCCAATTAAATACTTGTGCACAGCTACAGCCACAGTTGGTCACAGACGTCACAGTCCAGTCACAGCTGACTGCAAGGTACTCTTCACACGGAGATGAAACTTCGCTCACTTCAATAATATTCTTTTTTTCACATCTGTATACAAATTTAGAAAGCAATAATCTGCAGAATATAGGCGAGAAGCGGAAAGCCCGATAGAGGGATGCTGGGAGGCTGGCTGATTGAATTAGGTATATATAGTATCAGAGTCGGTTTCGCCAGCTGAATCGAATATAGAATTTTGGCAAACTAGAATTTTATTCATTCGTCGTTTTCCTTTTGAGATTTCGTCACTGAAAATACATTATTAAGTTTTACAAACTACAGATTATCATTTATCATATATGTTTTCGAGTATATAATTCCAATGTCCAGGGATAAAGGAATATGGAAAATGAATTACGACGATAAGCTTAAAAAATCAAACAATATTAATGTATATATAAACAGCAGTTGTAATAATATTATCTGTTGTATTATTGAATCTGTCAACTATACATGTGTGTGTATAACATGTAGGACTTGTAGCACGTTATTCTTCTATAACGTCTCTTTGTTACATATATAATCAATTCTTTTTAACGAAGTACAAAATATGTATACATAACTCTTCACGTTTTGATTACTCCTACGTAATCAATAGCATCACGAACAGCGAGCGTTCATATTTCTTTTTCGTTTGTTTTCATAGCGATATCGTAAAGAGATCATCTTATTTCCGACTAATGTTATCAAGTCAGTGAAACTTGTCTAATCACGATCACTTGAAATTCAAATTGTAAGATACCCGATACATCGCGTGTCTCAGAATTTATTTTTTGGTGTTTTTCTTCTTTTGAACGCACACTTTGCACACGTATAAGTAAATATTATTTGAAAAATTCTACTGCTGATCAGTCTTATAAATGCGCACGCTTGCTCCTATTACATTGTTTCGTATTCTTCGAGTGCAGCCTTTTAAGCATCGAAAATGAAACATGTTTTGTTTAAAGTATATCACAATTTCATAAGGTGATAATAAGTCGATAGTAAATTAATCTTAGTTCTATAAATTGTTCCTCGACATTATATAGCTATATCATATATTATATACATATATCAGAGAGGTTGCACATACGACAAACTTTTCAAATGTCGCATAGAATCCTATTTTTTGTCAATCGCGTTCTTTTTTTCACATTAATATCACAACATTGTCACCAATCGATACCTAATATTATTGCGATTTATTCTTATTGAACAAGTCGTATTCAGAAGTCGAACAAGAGATTCAAACGTACGGTTTACATGTTTCGATTTGTATGATAATACAGTCGTTAAGTAAAGAAAAGAACACCAACTCTATAAAAGTAAGAACTCATACTGGAAGAAATTGTATATATAACTCTTTATATCAAACGAAAATCTTTTAGATATCCATTGGTATTTCAGAAATTACAAATTAATAACAGTATAACTGTTCCTATTACTCTATTGCTACAACTATTAGTACTGATCAACTACATACTACTACCACGATTTTATCACTATCATTGTTGTTGCTAATTAACAAAAACTGATTTTGAATTTTACGTGTTATCGTAGAGAAACTATTAATATAAAGTCTTATAGAACGAGTCACTTCTTCGTTACACGAAGATGTAGTTGCTTATCTCTCACAAGAATGATTTTTCTTAGACGAAAATCCTAGATATTTGTACCGTTACATCAACTTTGTTCACAACTAACTCACGAAACATACTCGCGCGTTCTACGATGATACTTGCGGTGTGATTGTCAACCAAACTCTATCTACTTCTTAGAAATCATTCTAAATTGCAACATTGTTCAATTCGATATGTTCACATCTTCCACTCAATCCATATCCTTTCTCAAGCATTATAAATCAGTTAGGCGATGTACGAAATCTAGAAAAATCACATAAAACAACTGTTCAACCTTATTAACGATATTAAAACTCTTTTTCCGCTATATTATCACAATTGTCAAAACGTATAGATTACGCTCCTCCGTCTTAACGATTTTCTCTTCTCTTTATTACCCTATTTCTTTCGTTATTTGTATCATAACGTTGGTTACCATTGAACTAAATTTATTACGAAATATACGCGCATCAGAGAAATCCAGTTCGCGTGGAAAGTAAAAAAAAAATGATCACGCCAGCGCCTACTCGGAATTAACAAATGTTGATTAACCGAGTTTACGGCGAAAATTGACCAACGAGTTGATATCAGGGAAATTGTTCACTGTGTTTGCTGATACGACCTGTATAGCTTCTTCTTATCCAGAGTGAAGTCCCTACTGATCATAATGGTACCGCCTCGCGTAAGATTTCTGAAAACAGAAAAAAAGAAAAATAAATTAGTAACAAGATACATGTTATACACATTTATAAAAAATGTTATAAATCGTCGTAATTCAACTTACTTTAGGAACTGAGGTAACAGAATGTGCCAAGACGTGTGATCCTGTTTTAAAGTTAAGTAAAGCTCGAAGGTAGATACCGCATTCGGATCACACTGTATTTTTGAGAGTCTCCGGCACACGCTGTCCGTTTCGAAACTAATGAATAAGGTACAGCCTCTACAACAGATATAGGGAATTCATATAACGTTTGTAAAGATAAAGTTCGAACATAATTTCCTAAATGTAAAAATCATTAATCACAAAAGATTTTTTAACTTGTGAAACAAAGATTCGTTCGAAAAAAACTCGTAAATGAAATATAACTCACCTAAGACCGCAAGGTTCATTCTCAGCCATGCTGAGAACATTTTTAGCTATCCTAGGCAAGAGATCGGCAGGTAGTAAAACTTCCCCGCAAGCTAATTGAGCGTGCTTCGCCCTCCTCAACTCTACTTCTAGTCGTTTTGCCAGAGCCTGACAAGCGCCATCAAACTCGTCGGCCACGATTTCGGCTGTAACAGAAAGCAAAAGATCGATTCGTTACAATTATTTTTCATCTTTATTCATCGTTCAAGTGTACTCCCGGTTTTAAACTCGCGCTTTCAACACGACCAATAATTTCTCACCGTCATGTCACCACTACCAATAGTACCCATCCTGACGCTACGCAACTGCCTACGTGACCACGAACACTACGAGGATGTCTCTACCTATACATTTACTGATATGCGCACGCACGCGCGAACGCACAGTGAGAGTCAAAACTGAGTTCTCAACTTAAAGAAGATGAAGCTGATGTAATTCCGGTAATAGCCTCATAAGATCTAAGACAAATGTATGTAGTTGTGTTTCATCATCTTTTTTGTTCATGCATGTATTCACAGCATTGACTGGGCATCAAATGTGTGCGTGTAGCCAAACCGTATATGTATATCATGTAATATGACATATGTACACCGGCCGGCTATACCGGCAACCCAGTAATGTAATATATTTAGGAAACCAAAGTTTTCTTAGCTTCACAAACTGTATCACCCCCTACACTGTGCATGCATCATTTTATGGCTAATCTCTTTGTCTATCTCTTTCCCTCTCCCCCACATTTCCCTCTCTCAGCCCTTCAAGAAAATAGACGAGGCAGATAAGCATAAGCAATCGACGAATAAATAATTACGTACATTAAATTACCATTAAATACGATTTGACAATGAAAATTAAATGTTCGAGGAATATAATTGCATAACGTAAAAATGTATGAAAACTAAGTAAATAATAAGTTGGGACTTTTAAAACGTGTACGATGTTCGTTTATTCTATGAAAAATCAGCTGATCTGTAAAATCAGCTGAGGCAGCCTCGTAGCTGATACAAGATACCTACAGGCGAACGATCGATCGTCATTTTGAACGTGTATGCGAGAAACAGTACGCGAAAAGAACAATGGAAAAGGGAAAAATGGAAGAACGAAAAAACGGTCGTGTATGTAAGAAAATGATGAAGATATTAGAAGGAAACGTACCTCTGGTGTTGTTGAAGTTGACATTCACCGGACACGGCAAAACCTCCATGTTCCGAGAGATGTTGCACACAGGAGCAGATCACGTACACAAGTCAGAAAACAAGTAGCCGCAGGCCACGGCTAATGTCACACCGACCTTCTTCGGATAGGACACGGCAATTATTTCTTTGATGTTCACGAATTTGTTCCGAGTCTTGGTTTCTGATCTTTCGACCACGTTAACCGAACAATTTTCATAAAATCGGAGAAATCACTATTGTCGAAGTACGATTAGATACGAGCGCAACAACAGGCCTTGGTCAAATCCTTTCTTCTTAACTTTCACTGGAAGCTGAGACGCTATGCCGTTTGAAATATTATACACATTACTAGCTCTTCGATCTAACGCCAACTGATTTGCCAACCAGCGATGACGCGACTTATATACCGGCAACCCCTACTCCCTCGTTTTTTCCCTCCCACCGTTCTTTAACAAACCGCCTAGCAACACCGGCTACGTGATGTTTCGCACTGCACCCACTTCGGGAGTTTCCGTACCCCGTAGTTCGGTCATCTTCGGCACGTACCACCGCTTTCCTTTGGGCATCTCTACCTTTGCCGATCAACTAAAAGACTGAAACAACCCATCTCGACTTAATCGCATCGCCTACCGGTATTCTCGATCGTGTACGAACATGTTCCTTTTATACGTTTTTAGTCGTTTCGATTCGTCTTTCCCTACCGTTATTGCTGTACCGAAATCATTCGAACCACTTTTCTGCTTCTTTCGATCATTATCATAGCTTCTTGCTGACAACGCGTATGTATATAACATCTATACATGTATAATCGATTGTTTATCATCCTACCTTCATAGCCTTTCGTTTTGTACTCGACTCTTTATTTATTTGAATTTCAATTTAATTTCAATGGAAACTTCTCGTGGATCTAAGCTTCCCTCACCATTTTTCGATGAAACACGTTTATGTTTATGTATACTTACCTTTTCATTTCCTCTGTCATTATCGCCAAACGAGAAATATATACATTGAACACCTCACTCTATCCTTTACGTCTGGTGATTTCAAAGACAAATCGATCATTGATAATATCTATCATATCGACACACATATTTAGCTGTCTTCAATTACTTGTTTAATCTCAAACAAAATTAGATAGTCTATCAATCGTAGGTCTGCATCAGCCAACAATGTCTTTATCTACATATGTAACAATTGATTCTACATTGACGATAAGTGCCTTCTGATATAACGAAACTAATCTTAAATTAGTGTCAAAATACAATATATAATAAGCGTGTTTTTTGACCCGCCTGCATCGGAGTACGCGAGATCATCTGTTAGCGGGAGAGGAAGATGCAGTAAAGCTATTCATATTTCAATTACACGTGTTGCTCTTCTTGTTTCTCGGTCTTTATCTGGTCTCCGTAAAAATAGAACTGACAACATTGCCGATTGCTTTTCTATCATAAGCATGCATGCACGTACGCATCCACGGACACGTGTGCGTGTATATATTATTTTGTCTCGTTTATGTTCGCTGTACGTATCATCTGAAAACACTTGTCATTTTTGACGTAAACAATTTTATACGATAATTGATGAGCTTGTTCGTTAAAATATAAAAATAGTTGGATAGATTCGAGGGGAAGATATCTTTTATTGTTAAAGAGATACAACTGTTAAATGTTTACTGCCACCGCTCGTGATTATTCCTGCTGCCATACAGTCTAGCTCATTCACGTTATTTATATTTCAAGGTACTTCACTTTAGAGCAGAATCTATGAACTATTCGATTCTACCTTATCATGATGTAACACTACAGTGAAAATTGCTTCGATTGCATCAGATTCGAATCGGAAAAACATTGTTCCGAGTATTGCACAATTTTCCTATTCGCGTTTGTGAACAATTCAGACTAAAAAATTGAAATTAATCAAAATGAACGAACAATAAATCTCAACTAACCGAAACTGTAATTGCATGTAAAATATATCATTTCATCGTTTCACATGTATAGTTATATTCAAATTAGTCTAAAACTATATTTATGGATGCATATTCTGCTACTTTAATTATTGTCCCGCTTCATCTTATTCAGATTACTCAATCATTATGCCTAAGTTCGTTTTATTTTTAATTCTGTTACATAACGCATGCATATAAGTACTTTAGAGCATCATCATTGAAAAACTGGATTAGATGTGCATGTATGCATCCACATGAATGTATAACGCGTACTATATTCTTCACGGTATAGATTGCATGAATAAGGTTTGAAATGAACGAAACATGAAATAATTTAATATTTGGATATTTATCATGTTTAACATTTATATAGATCTTTAATAGTACGTACCATACGTAAATTATATGTACATATATTTAATTGTTATTTCAAAATTAAATGGAATTATGAAACTTTAAGCATTTACTTGAAAAATTCACAAATTAATCATCAAAACACATTGTCTTTGTTCCATAGTCCCATTATTTTTCTGTGTGGGACTGATACTGCCATCTACCGACGACGTACTAGAAGTAATCAGCACTAGAGCATTACATACAGTGATCTATATATGTAGATTACTGATTAGATAGCTGTAAGCGCTGTAAGGTCCGATAAACTAAATGTAAATAATTCCAGAAATGAATTTAGAGACCGGATCGATCGTAAAATATTATTTAGGTTTTGACCTTTAATGTGAGCACTTACAAAGTTAGATTACGATGGAAGATTTTGTGCCAACACGAGTATCAAAAGCGAAGAAGGACGCTGCAAAGGAGTTCGTATCGATTAATTATGAGAAACCAAAGAAGAAGAAGAGGAAATTAGAAATCGTTGACAGCAAAGATGATAATGAAACGAGTTCTAAATTTAATTCAGAAATCGATGATGACGGCAACAGTGCGAGGAGAAAACAGGAACTGGAAATGAAACGTGTCAGATACGAGGTTATGAAATTCGGTATGTCTGGTTTTAAAGGACCTGCAGCGGAGGAAGCAGAAGTTGCTTTAGCAGTGAGTTTAGGAGCGAAACCTCCGAAGAGGAAAGGTATTAATTATAAACTACTGAAAGAACAACGGAAACAACAAAAAGAAACACAACAAAAGGACGTGACACTTGTGTCAGGACTTGAAAAGAGTTTAACGAAACATAAAAAGAAACGGATTCCAAAAAAAGGTTCGGATGGCTTATTAGGAGTTTATGGGAAAGTAAATAAGAAGGTAGTGGGCAAAATGAAAAAATAGAATTATAATGGTAAAGATTTAAAATAGTTTGTTACACTCATTTCCAGAGATTATGTGCTTTACTTATTGTATATGTATATGAAGAATAACAAGTAATAAAATAATATTTTTATATATTTGTGAATTCATTTGGGCCAGCCTTGAGCTTTCATAACAGGATACATATCTTCGTCTATTCATATTTAAAATAGATATTCATATGTTTTACCATGCCACTGTGGAATGATTTGGCATTCAGAGAATTACTGCTTCTGCGTCCGGTCGAGGTCAATCAAAGGCTGCAGCCGTCGGTGCAACCTCTAGTAACATTTGAAGGAAGGCGTTCACTCCTTCTGTAAACGCAAATAAAAAAACGATTCTCAACATGTTTTTTCTTTGCATCTGAATTATATCACTTACCCATAAACTTCGGCACATATCCGTATTTAACGAACGGGAGGTAGACAAACATGCCCGCAAATATGAACCCGGCCGCGTACACGTACTCGATTTGAGGATTATCGATGATTGGAGCTACAATCAGGTACGCTGAAATTCCGAGTACGAGGACAGGTATTATCAACGGACATTTGTACGGCCGAGGATGATTTGGTCTGGTTCTTCGCATCACTAACAGAGCTAACATCGCTCCGCCGTAAAAGATCCAAGCGGTGAATGAAAAGAAATCGATTAAGGAATCTATGCTTCCTGACAGCACCATCGCCCCTATTTCATCACACATTTAGTTAGAATATAGATAGCCGAGACGCAATTAAAATTGAACTGCGGACAGTACCTGCGACGAGGGAATGAAAGATAAGTCCTGGCGCGGGAGTAAACCGTCGTACGTGCACATAACTTAGACAGTCGAGCAAGTGGCCCTCTCGGGACGCGGCAAAACATAGTCTACCTGCTGCAAAGAGAGTACCATTTGCGGAACCGAACGTGCTGATTGCAACCGACAGTGGCATAAGCCATGCCATAACGCCGAGAATCCGATTTCCGAAAGTCTGCAAAATATTGCGAAGCGTTCGAGTAACGAGAGAGGAGATGTTCTACTCTAACTCTTGGCATCCAACAGAAGTAACGGCTTAATAACAATCTTACCACTGCTACGGCTTCGCTTTCGATCATCTCCGAGGGCGACATCACTGCCAGATAGGAAATGTTTATCAACGCATAACACAGTGTCACGAGGGGTATACCGATCATAATCGAACGCGGCAGATTCTTCGATGGATCTTTGATTTCTTCCGTAACGTAATTCAGGTTGTTCCATCCATCGTATGCCCACAGCCCGGTGTAGAACGCTGTAGCCAATCTGCCTATGTTCACGGTTTTACCGTCCATCGTATCGAAAGCGCCTTTCAAATGCTGCGTATTACCCTGTATCAACTTGTACGAGCCACCGGCAATCACAACGAGTATCGCTATCAGTTTGGCTGCGGTAAACGCATTTTGCACACCTGTCGCTAGATTTACACTGTAGCAATTCACTAACAGTATGAGTATGATCGCCAAGAGGGCGACGACTTTTACCACTTCTGAGGGTGGATCGCAGTCAGCCGCAAAGGCCTCAACCGCGTACTGAGCAAACGACAGGCATATTATTGCCATTTGAGACGGTTTCAGGACCAAAGTGGAGACCCACGAGAAGAGGAAAGCGGGGGGTGCGCCGAACGCGTCCATGAAGTAGGCATACTCGGCGCCACTGCTCGTATTCATCGTACCCAGCTCGGCGTAAGCCAACGCGCCGCACAGGCTCAACAAACCGCAGGCAGTCCATACGAGGAAGCTGATTCCAATGCTACCGGTTCGAATCAAAAGGCCTGACGGCGAAACGAATATCCCGGAACCTATCGTTTCGGCGAGCAACGAACATCGACAACAAACAATTTCAAGCTGTACTACCTCATAATTATAAAGAACATATTAAGTGAAAATATAGTACTAAGTGAGATCGCTACCTATCATGGTACCGACGATTAGAGCCACCCCACTGACGAGTCCCACCCGTCTCTTGAGGTGAACAGAGTTGTTCTCCTCTGGGTCCGTCCCCTCCAGCCCTCCACCCCCTCCACCCCCATCTTCGTCATCTGCCAGATCCCCAGATTTGACTTCTTTCTTTTTCCGTTCGTGTAACTGTTGCTGTTGTTCCTGTTGCTGTTGAAACGGCGATAAAACCGGAGGATTCCATCCGTTGCTGTTGCTTCTGACGGATCGCGAGACCAACGTAGTTTCAGGTATTCCATTCCATCCACCGGCTTGCAATTGCTGTTGCGATTGATTCCCATTACTCGTCTGTGGATCATATCCCACGGTAGCTGGAACCATACATTTTCTTCGATTAATATGTAGCGTATTCAGATTACTTCTCATTTCTGTGTGGAGTCGTCAAAACAGTTTAAAATATCACTTAGACATTGTGACGACAAACTACCCTTCATCGAGTTAAAAAATTCACTGGATCGTGTGGTTACCTTCGTACATAATTAATCAGACTTTCTTATCGACAATGTGAACCGAGTCCTCTATCCTTTATAATTATCTCAAGCTCACTTCGAGAACTAATAATTTAATTAATTAATATTTAATCATCCGAAGGAGGATTAAAAACAAATTCCAAGTTGCCACATTTTTTCGTACCGTTGGAGAACAAATGAACGTTCGTTCCGATCATAGGTCAATATTCTAGAGTTAACTGGTTGCACATCGAAAAATACATACTTCGTCGCACTTGTAGCTTATTAGCAGGTAATGACAAAATTTACGCAGTTAGCATATGCTTCAGAGAACCGCGGCAATTTGTTTTTATATCCCCACGTGATGTACATTGTTATATGTATTATTATCACCGAGGCGTTGTGGGGCTCTACCGTAATAGTTTGTATGGCCGAACGCCAAACATCTCTCGTGGGTACTCGTGACTGAGAACAAGTCCCACTTCTTTAAACGTTTTAACGTACAATAGATCGTAAAATGTGTTTTCTCCAAGCAATAACTGTACATACCGGTAATAATTGGAATAGGAAAACCTATTAACGATACGCTAAATTGTTGATCGTAGAATTTTGCATTCTACGTATGGCGATAATGTATATCAGTTAGAATGCCATAACAGTCATAAATCAGCGGCTAATTTGAGTTTTCTTTTTTTTTAAAGAGGAATGTTCAAAACAATTATTGGTTTAACATGCGATAATATTGGCGAGCTGTGTTCTTTCGAAAGAATTCCGTCACGACGCGATGTGACCGAACCTCGGCTGTACTACGCAAGGCGCGTCTCTTCTTCAAGGTGACCTTTCGATAAAGGACTATCGATTTTCTAGACGCATTCACGTTAATCATTTATCACTACATTTAGGTTTAAATACTGCCCACCTTAAAATTATCGCTTGGTCTCGTCGATCAAAGCAGTCTGCGTGGGCGTACACCCTTTTGCATTTCAGAGATCTACGCGTGTCTCAAATATTTTGCACCATACAATTTCAGTACTTCTAATATTGTAATTTACGATTGAAGAATAAATTTTTAAGTTTGGATTTTCAGGAATTTGTAGACGTCATATTGATTTCAGCCTGGCTCGCACTTTTTTCGCTCGCAAGTGTTTTAAGTGCTCCTTCGTATCAAAGACCTTCGTAAGAAACTGCTGATTACCGTTTTGCTACGTTGCAAAATTGGTGTTTCTAGAACTCCACCTTTCAGTCTCATTTAATATTATTATTAACCGTGCAAATAAGTGCAGTGACAATACAGCGGAACGAAAAAGATCAACAAAGTCATAAATGTTGTATAAATTATAATGGTACAATTTTAAACGTCGACTGTCTTCCAAGATTTGTGGTGCTCATCTAACTTTATTCTACAGTTTTGTGATGTAATGTACTATATAACGAATCAAGTTATTAATATTCTAAGTGAAATTTTCAGTTTATTAAAAGAGAGAAATATTCATCATATTGTCACCTTTAGTGACCGAATACTGCGACCAATTGCGATTTGAACTTGCTGTCCCATTTCTCCGCGCGAAGAGATGACGATCTTAATGGTTTTAAACGATTCGAGTAACAAAGACGCTATCATTAATTGACCATTATTATTACTCGTTCAGCGTAGTGCATACCTTGAAAAATTTGACCAACTGGTAACACAATATTATGATAACTCGTAGTGCAGAGTGGACAGTGTCTCTCAATGGTTATTTTATCATGTGGTATCAAATGAACACGTGCATGGTGTCACTTAATTCTGCTTGTTTTTCGTAGAAGTCTAATCAGATATGTTGTTTGAATATTACATTATATTTGAATTTGAATCTTCCTTTAGCTTCAGTTTCTTTACTGAGATATTTGCTATGTATGAAAACCTCTACTAAACCGCGTTAATAGCTATTGTGTATAAAGTGTCGTAATGATCCAATTGCGTTTAATTGAATGTTCGTGCGAAAGAAACTGAACTCTGCTGGCGTAGTCTCGGAAAGAAGGCTTTGTCTAACATCGAAGGTCAAATTAATTATAGAATCGAAATGAGATCATAAAAAAAAAATGATGGACACTTATTACCGATTACGTAACGCTTATTATTCGCGAGAAATAAAGAGAATAGTTTTATTTAATTCTAATCGCGTTTGTACGAACGAGCATCGTGCCGGACAATATGTGATACATTTTGCGTCGCCTCTTGACACATCAAATCCCGTGTAGTCAACGACTCTTCATTTACGATGATTTATTCGATGAACTGTCGGTGTCGAGTTTGTACCATTTCGTCCATGGTTATACGTATGCATCTCTTAATCGATTTACCCGGTTGAAAATTGTGCGAATACGAAGAAATCGTCGACGAAATTTCGTCATAGATAATTAAGACTCAGTACCATTAATATAAGTGTTTAATGATATATCGAGTTTGCTTTTAAATTAGTAATGCTAATAAAAATAGGCTTGTCAATTTTTGGGCTCTAAAGCTAAAGCAAATATGTAAGTATAATTTTTATCATTTCTTGTCGTTGATCTATAGTTATACGATATTGATCAACAGTTTTCGTTACACTTTATTGATCGTTGTACATTATTTGCCAGATATCTACAATTCTAAGATGGAGAAGACACTAATGAAATAAGAAATTTCAATAAAAAAGAGACGGCTTATGCGTAGGTGTTGAAACGGATGATGATTGAATTTTTAATTCATGCCTTAGCTATTAGATATCCATACATATCTTGCATGCGACGTGTTCCTTTTCAAGATTACTCGGTGGAATTCCAATTACTATATTATTTGGAATAAAAGTTTGCGGTAAAATTAATGCCGACTAATCGAGATAATTAAATTGTTTGAATAGGAAATGAAGACACAGTCGAAAAATGATTTAAGATCCGTCTGTAAACTAGGTTGATACAGATTTATTTAGCTACGGTTTCATGTACTCTTGAGTAATTTCGTTTTATGGAAAGGTTTATTAGCTATTCGACGCCCAACTATGTTATATTTAAGCGACGGAGAAGAGTTAGAGTTAGGCTATTGCTTTGCATAGGAAGAATAATTGGCTTAAACGTTATACATCGCACACTAGTAATCGTTACAGCCGCTTCGTTGAGAAATCGTTCATTTATTTGTAACCATTTTCAACGCAGTGGATATTTTCTATGAAATAGGAAAAACAAGCTATGAAACCAGTAGGTGTTTGGAATTTTTCTATATTAATAAAATTATATTTTCTGATATTCTCTTAACCATAGAATCATGGATTTTGTTAAACATATGGTAGCCAAGTTTAGTAAGCGAGCTGTATCTGTTCACGCGGGGGAAACGAAGTCACTTGCCCGAAGTGTCTTAAAATACTTCCACGGGCTTGATTCAACGTCACGGGGGACCTGGATATTCGATTTCATTCTATAAAATAGGGGTAAACAAAAGAACAGAGCGGTTGTAAGTATGAATGGAATATCGATCAGCGTTCTTGACATCGAGCTAATTCGACATTGCCAATGGTAAAGAGATAAAATACGGAACTGGCAAGTATTCTTGGAGCGTCTGAGATATTTCGTGCATTCAACACGTATCAACGAGTTTCACAGGATGACGCAATGTTTTGTGGAACCCGATTGTCGCGTTTTTTCGTTGCATAAGAAATATTTCTCGATCCTCTCGTATTAATTGCATTTTAATTTACATTTTAGAATTGTCTCCACTTAATAATTTTTATACTTCGCCTTCGATTTCTTTCGAGATGCGTCGGATGTACTTAGGTATGTCAATCTTGACCAATGGTAAACAATCGAAATAGTCAAGGCAAACGTGTTGTGGCTTAATGTTTAGACAAGGAAACGACGTAATTGATTCTACGAAAGAATCGGCGTACGTCTTGGCACGCACGTGCTTTCCCGTTCTATAACTAACGCTGGTTTGCGACAACAAAGTTTCATTCGAATTGTACCCGTTCTATGAGAATTTCAAAACATCCTGTTGCCGTGATAACTGATACGTACGACTATTTAGAAGCTGATCGATATTATTTTACTAAACAATCGATACGCGATTAATTACATTCATCAAATTGACCCTTTTGCGGTTTGAAACATTAGATCGATACGACTTCCTGGTAACGTTATCTCAGTCTTATTTTTCGAATTGCGCTAGAGTGAAAAGAGCGAGAGCATTTTGCATAGGTAGCAATGTCAAGGAGGCCATCTAAAGAACGGTCGTAGCGCTTATGAATGAGCAGGAACCCGGCGAGGGTAAAAAGCGCGCGAATCTCGTCAATTACGAATAAGTGGTTACTCTCGTCGCGAAAGGAGGATAGACAGAGCGGGTGAGGTAACGTCAGGGATGGCAGTCAAGCGGGTAGACGGATAAAATGAGAATAAAGTGTCGCTCACCTCGTTTGAAGGGCGCGACATGCATGACTCTAAGAGGGACCGATAAGAAGGGCGGACTGTGAGACCGCCTCTCATGACACTACGCCGACTTTTCGGTGGAACCACTGTCTCTGCCGTCTACAGCTGTCTTCGGACCGGCGTCTTCTTGCTTCTTTTACCGCTAAAGTTCGCTGGCAAATTTCTCGTTACGTTGTCAGAACGGGCGAGCCTCGCGTTCGCCCCTGTTCTCGAAATACGACCGATGATACTCAGGCCTAAACGTGACAACGACTCTCTTCCCCCCGAGCCGACTTACATTCAATTTTTCCTTTGATCGACGTTGCGTACAGAGATTTGCGTTATATCTCGTACGTGCAATTGTAATATTACGATACGACTTGCACCGATCCACCTTTGACGATGAACTGGGCGTTCGACGGAGGGAGACGCACCCGGTAAACGGCGAACAAGAACGAGGCTGGGAAGGGGAAATCTAGAGTGCGAGTGCGACAGGGAAACGAAGATATCAGCGCCAGCGTCGGCGCTTAAACTCGCTCGATATCGTTTTCCTGCCTTTCGACTTCTATTGGATATTTACGAATTCTTTAATCTTCATTAATTTTATTAATCATAATACAGCCTGTTTATATAATTCAAATGTCACGTGTAGAAAGAACTGTTTTATTTTTGGACAGCTTATATATACATAGATACATGTATCTAAAAAATAATTCTCATATATTTATTTTTTTACAGTCATGATTCGATTTGTTTTAAAAGAAATTCAGCACGAATATATAAATAAACATAATTTATTCTTATACTTAATATATATATATATTTGTATTATTACACGAACACGTTTATATATATATACATATAATATATATGTATATAGAAATTATGTAGCTTAAATATAATAAATGAATCTTTGCTTTATAAACGATCTTTATGCTAGGCCAATATGTATGTGCAGTTCAATGTTATAAAAGAAGATGTGTAATTGTGTGCAATATATGTATTAATCTTTCATCATTTATAACAATCGCTTTTATGTATAATACAAATTACAAAAAGAATAAATATCAGGAATGATTCAGTGTGCTTTAAGAAAGTAACGGTACACGAGAGTCGCCAGAACCCCAAGAGCAATAGGAATTAGCCAGGATCTCCAAGAACCACTGCAACTGGCAATCACATGATGTTGCAGCATCGACTATTTACATATCACACATTTTGAATTTTGATGTGCTCATTGGAGATAGCTCAAGTATCATTCAGAAATTATATCAATTAGAAAATATGTATTATTGTATTTTATATCATAAACATCTAGCTTTACATACTTGAGCTATCGAAAGTATAAAAATAATCAAAGAATGCGAGATACAAGACCAATGCAGATAAGATGTTAGTAGCGAGATTATGCACCTGTAATATTCTTGTTAGCAATAGTTAGTATGTGTAATATTAATATGCAAAAGGGAAAAGGTTATACATACCTTGAACTATCGTAAGCATCAGGTAGCTCACCAATTCTTTTTTGGTCTTCGTCTATTATATCCTCCTACAATTAATAATATTTCATCCAATAATAATCTTTATTATTTGTAACATGAAGGTACAAGATCGTACAGTTCTTTTACGTACTTTGACTAGATCTCCAATTTTAAATGTTTCCAGTAATTCTCTGGCATCGCTCGAGTGACCAATATCTTCGAAGGCTTCTGTAGAGTCCTTACCACCTTGCTCGAGAAGAATCTCTTGCCCACCCGGGTGCTGAAATGCAAATAAAAACAAAGCAAAGATTCAAAATCACGCAAGGTTCTATGAACGAATCGATCTCGATAAAATATTATAAAACATAATTACACTTGTGAATTTGGTCACGTCGTAAACTTTATTATTAATGATAAACCACAAGTCGTTACTGTCCGTATGTTTCGAAACCTCTTTCCGCGTGAAATATTTCGTATCTTCAGTGGAATTAACAGACGCCATGTTTTATCTTCTGCAGTAGACAAAACTTTATAGGCAATATGTGAATATTATATAGATATTGGGAAGGATATTATATAGATATTGAGAGGAATGAACGAAATATTGAACACAGTCGACGATCGATCGTTGAAACTATTGATTACACTGTTGTTTGTTGGGAAATTATAATCGTATTGAAATTCTAACCGACCGCCTATTAGTCAGTTGCGATCACAGCTACAGGCTATAGTCTGAACTTAGTGAACCGGTTAGTACAGAATAAGTAGGATACTTGCACTCTTCTGTGATAGTGAGAAATTAAGCGTTAAAAATATTTGTAAAATACTCTATTACTACATCAAGGTTATCAGTAACATGAACTATTTTTAATTTACTATACCTGATTCAATAACTACTTTGTATCAAGAAATGCAAACGAGTTGATCTGTAATAAAAATTTTTATGTAATATATTTGGAAGAATTAAGAGATTTACTGCTGTAATCACTGAGTAATGTTCCGGCGTCGAATAGATACTGTATTATATACAATTAAAGCGTTTGAATCCTGTATTGATTTTGTGTTTACAACAAGATAGACACATTTCCTAGAGTAAGATAGACATATTTCTAATCTAATAATAAACTAAATCTAAATACTTCAAAATTGAACCAATAGAATGTCACGGTTTCTGTTCGCTCAGGTGTCTAAATTTGTCTAAATTTTAATATTTTCTCTCTGTCTATAAATATTTTTCAGAACGTGGTTACGATAGTCAGGTGTCTTTGGACGAATATTCTATAGCATTTTTTATAAAATATGAACATATTACCCATTATAATTGTTTCTTTGTAGGTTTCAAGCTTAGCAAGTGATGTTCGGTAATTCTATGGAATACGGTTAATCTTACGAATACCAATGTAAAATGAATTTTGTTAGCACTCTGTTAGTATTAACTAGTACTATTTTAGTAATGTTTTGTACAAAATGTGGATCTTATTTCACCTTACCGTTTTCGTATGGAGCTCACAAAATCTATTCTGGAGCAGAATTTGTGAAATGTAGTTTTGTGGAATGTTGTACAGACGAATATGTCTCTCCTGATATTGATAGTATGTATATTAAATAAAGAATTGAATACATACTGAATTATTGACTTCCTATAATTAATTATGTTAATCGAATATGACCATTTTAGAGTTAAATGATATCCTGATTAAAGAGCTTTATGGACAAGAAATTGCTCGTCAGGCAATTATAAATGCATTACGTGGACACCTGACAACAAATCCTCCAAAAGCTTTGTCTATGAGCTTTCATGGACCACCAGGAACTGGAAAAACTTATATAAGTCAACTGATTGCCAAGTTCCTTTACAAATATGGCGAAGAAAGTAAATATTTTCATTTTTTTAATGGCCGCAATGATTTTCCATTAGAATCAAAAGTAGATGAGTACAAGGTATATTTTTACACCTGTTACTATAAATCCTTGAAATATAGAATGTGCAAATAATACCGATTTATTTTATATTACACAGGAAGAACTTTACAAAATCATCATCAGTGGTTTAGATAAATGCGAAAGATCGATGTTCGTATTTGATGAAGTGGATAAAATGCCAGAGGGCTTACTGGATGTTCTTGTGCAATTTTTGGATTATAACACATCGATCAAATCATGGAGATATACAAGCAGTTCTATAAACACAAGAAAAGCAATTTACATATTTTTATCGAATACAGGCAGTTCTAGGATTATTCAATATCTGTTAACACTTTGGCAACAGGGCAAGTCGAGACAAGCAGCTAGACTTCAAGACTTCGAATATTTAACAAGTGTCGGGGCATTTAACGAGAAAGGTGGTTTTCACCATAGTGATGCGATACAGTCGAACGTCATAGATCATTACATACCTTTTTTACCGCTCGAGGAAACACATGTGAGAAAATGTCTAGAGAAAGCTTTTATAAATAGGGATGTAAACCCTACTAGTGAAATGATCGAGGAGGGATTATCGTACGTGATTTTCGGCCCTCCTCCGCATAATCTTTATGCAACTGCTGGTTGTAAACGATTAGAACAAAAAGTGGCTTCTATTATATATGCTAAGAAAACAAAACGTACTGATCTTTGAAGATACACAATGGTTTTCTCCTTTTTATATTAACATTTCAATAACATCTAAATTTTATTGATTATTCTTATTGGCACAATCAGAATTTGTGTAACAGTTAAAAAAATAGTACGACTAATTTGTTACAACAATACACATAGCGGTCGTTTATATTTTTACGTGTGTATGTTTACAGTTCCGAAGTAGCTAAAATTTTTTATCATTAACAGTACAGAATTACATTATATACAATTGAGGCCTGGCAATTGACTTAAAAATCTAGTCATGAAGGAGAAAGCTGTCTAGAAGTATAATCATTTGGCAATACGTTCTTTTCTGTATGATTTCTAATATACAGGAACAGACAACTTCGATCCTTATGACCTTTTCCTTTAAACATTATTCGTACTGTTACATCGTACTGAAAAATAATTATAACTCTTCGCATCTATACAAATAGGTAAATATAATTGTGTCTGTGAATTCGGTTCCCGTATATGAATACGTACTTTCTGTTTAGGTAATTGTGATATAGTACAATTTCAAGGAAACTGCAAAATAAATTGTTATTTTTATAATGATAGTGATGTATGAAAATGGATCCTTCTACGTTTTATGTACTGTAAAAATGTCTATATTGTAGCTTATTTCGTCATCTTGTCGGTTTAAAACAGTTTGGATAAAATATCATGACCGCACGATCACACGATTAACATGTAAAATATTCTTGATGCGTCGTGCTATCACATGATTAGAAACATTAACTGACATAATTTATGGTTACTCTTCCTCAACGTATTCTTTTGGAAAAAATCCTACTTGATCTCCTATCTTCCCTTTCCACCAACCTTTGGCATCACCTTCTTTACTCAGTACGACAACCTTACAACCTCGCCGTAGGCTTAACTGATTCCGTTCCCCGCCACGGAAATCGAACAACGCTGTGGCTATCACGCGCCTGTATGGCCATAGTAAACGCTGATCTAGTTTTTCGAAATTTTCCGACAACGACTCCCGTTCATAATATTCAATTAGTTCGATCACGCTTTTGAAGAAACGAGACTCGCTTAGGTAATAGACATCAGCGCCTTCAACATCGCGTTTAAATACTCTAATATGTTTTACCGCTCCGTCCGCCCTATAATATCATTTTAACATTTAAAAATAGTCGTAAATACATAAGGAAGAGATATAATACAATAACTGCTTACTTGATACTGAGAGCGTACTTGGTTTCGTGTTTTAAACGCGGTTGTCCTGCGGGTCGTACTCGTAACATATACGTTCCATCTTCGCGGGGTTCTAATTTATTTGAGGCCGTGTCACGTTCCATTTCTCCTACGAACCATAATTTTACCGAAAGAGCACGTTCGCATGGTAGAGGTGGTGGAGGCGGTGGCGTAGGTGCTGCCGGCATACACCGACCCGAATGCGCAATGCACTGTTTGTGTACAGCAAAGCGGCATACCTCGCATCGATATCCCTAGTTCAATAAGTAACTCATTAGCAAAATTATGCAGCAACGTTTGAATATTATTTACGAATGATGATTTTACCTGAAAAATTCGACCTTTCAAGAACTTGTCGCATCGCTGACAACTACGAGGAGTCTCGAACGTTGTGAGTTTGAACTTGTGATTCGTGTTACGACACGCAGCTGGATTGACATTGTCCATCGCATCTTGGAGAGCCTTGATCCACATTTGCTTCTGTTCTTCCGTTCTGGCGAATAAAGTGTACGCCGTGTATTGTTGTTTGTGAACCAGTAACCATTGGTAGGACCACCGAGAGTCTCTGCCGATCGTTCGTCTTCCCATATGATCTTCCAGTCGATAATTATCTAATCGTAGAGTTTCACGGTAGCAATATTGCTCCCCTCTTCCTGCTTTACAAATCAATACTACTTGTTCGAAGACAAACGCATAACGAACTTTAACCCGTTGATCGCCGTGAGCTTTTACCTAAAAGATAAATATTACAGTATTTCGTATGTTTCATTTCCATAAATACGTGCTAAGAAATAATGGACACCTTCAGTTCCCCATCCCTCAGTAAACGTCCAAAATCTTTTAACTGTGTATCTTCCGGAACCCAATCGACGATTGACGCTTGAATGTCTCTTATAATGTCTAACGTATCTGAATCGCGCTTCACCTCATTAATATACTGCGCTATATCGACCATCACTTCCCTAGCTTTCCCAAGTTGTCGCTTATCTTCCAACCAGTCACAAGGAGTTTCTTCTACTAATTTATCAAGCAATAAATGATACTTCAATACTCTTTGCATTGGAACAGATAGTATATCTCGTAATTTAAATTTTCCATTATTTGCTTCTTGTTGGCACCTCTGTAATTCATTATTCCATTTAGTTCTCGGCAACGGTCACGAACGAAGGATAAATGTTTTGAAACCCACGATAACTTCTTGGTTGGCTGAGTCGTTACGCGTACACACTTCTTGCAATGTGTTTTGAGCAAGCGTAAGATTTGCGCAATAATCGCCGTATATAAGGAACTTCTCTCGCCAATCAAGGAAAACCTGCGCTAGAGCGGCGCCTGTTCTTGCTTTACGAAGTTGACTATGAAAACCTGCATGAATCTCTGCGAGTTCTTTAATACGGAAAAAGATACGAGCGCAATCCTCGGGTTGTAAGAATGAGGACAGAGGCCTAGCAAAGTGTTTAAGTAAGCTGTTAAGGACGTCAGAGTAGTTCCGTTCCGTTTCAACCAGCTCCTGAATCACGTAATCCCGTTTTTCACCTCCGGAGATCACGCCATCCTGTTTTACAAAAGATAATTGAAGATTTCGTTTTACGCAATCAACATTACGGACATAAAATACTGCAAAGCAAACGGAGAAGAATAGGGCTAATAATTAATTTTTAAAATGTATTTGAACGACTGCAGAAAACTAAGGAACACAATTATTTAACGACCTGTGCTGCAGATGGAGGAGGCGGCAAGTGTAGGCTACAAAGATCCTGGTAAATTTCCTCGTTGTGAGCATGGCTGCAGTATGCTCCATATCCGTCCTCTTCGCCGACCGGATCGTCGTTGTCTCCTCCTCCACCTGCCTCGTCTCCTTCTCGCCTTCGAAATCTTCTCCGGCGACCTTCATCCTCACGGCTTTAGCATAAAAAATGAACAGCCATGCACTATTCATGCATGAAAAAAATATAATTTCTTGCGAACTTAAAACTATTCGTAGCAACAATATTGATTTTGTTACTGATAATGAAACATAAGTTAGCACATAACAAGTGTTTGGAACAAATGCAGAATAAACCTTAACATAGTGCCAGTATCACTGTACCGAATCCGTTATGTAAATAATCATTGCTTTATATTTAATTTAGCATTTGATTCTTTTCTCATTGAGATACAGTGATGTTTGGTACTTTTACGGTAAAAATCGTTAAACATTTAAATTGCAAACGACAGATACCTTCTCTGTGGAAGGCCAGTCGCGCGGAGAATTACTCGAGAAGCAAAGTAATTCTTGATATACTTGAGTTTCATCTACATCCATACCCTTGGACTTTATGGTAAATGTCCCCACACCTGTCGTGGGACTAAACCCATTGATAGAGATTATTATAAAGTTAAGTGTCTCCAAATGAAACATACTGATCGTACACTATCATTTACTCTAGACTGGAACATTAGGAATTATCAACTTCTACGGGAATTTAAATGCTTACCCTGCACCAGCGCTTTCTAAATCCTTATAGATGTCCTCTTGTGATCTGCCATGACCTACAGAAAAACCACTGAAACAGAGACATTCTTCTTTGTAAGGAAGGAAAGATTCTGCAGTTTCAAGATAAAATATTGTACAATAATATATTACTTACGGAATACCTTTACGCCTTAAACGTGGGCATGTTGACAAAACTGATAAAGTGCACAGTACGCGACCGAAATCAGATAGATCGAAGAGCATTGAAGGTTCGAAAAGGTCAGAATCAGGCAAACCGAATGTAGTTGAGCATGCTGACAAGAACACTTTTATATTTCTTAAACATAAAAATTGTGCCATCTGCGGTTTCTGATTTACATCTTTCATGTCTATACATCCAGGATCCAGTATGTTTAGAAGATTGCATAGCAATACACCATCTCTCAATGTATATGCTAAGTCGAATGGTCTTGCCTCCGGCCAATTGGCTTTGTGATCTTCTCGTAAAGCTCCACATCTTGTTAACCATTTGGCACATTGGTGCCAACTGTCCCCATTATCCGATATGCTCTCTATTCTGCTCATTTTTTGTCTGTCCGTTCGTCAATGTGATAAATGAAATGTTCACGGTACGAGTTTTGTTAATATACAATTTGTTAAGACATAAGGTTCCATAGATGTATTTCCTTAGATTAAGAAACTGCAAAGAAAAATACAAGAATTACAAGTGAAGATAACAGTTTCCATAGATACACTTTAACAGATAAAACAGAAAAAAAGGATGTATCTACGATTATCATGAATTTTAATAAAACTATCGTACTCATGCTGGGATAAAAGATATCGTTGGAACACGTGTTACTGAATCGAACATTATCGACCGACATGTACCTTCATCCGACGAAGAATTTATTAAGTGTTTCTTTGCTCTTCTGTCAGCGTTGAGGATATTCCGTAATAAGTTCTGCAAAAGAACTCATTCTTGTATTCCGTGTCGGTCGACGAATATATCTCAACGGAATTTGTAATGTCGCTTAAAACGCTTCGTTGGGACTGTCATTGCTAGGAGGGCATATCTGCCGAATTACAACTTTTAACACGCGTTTATTACTTCGCACGATATGCCTTGTTCCTTCATTGTGATATTATGACGTTCGATCCTCTGCAACACACGGCTGCCATATTGCTACCTCACTGCAGTCGATCATATCATATAAATATCAACGCTACTTTTGCTCCTATCATCCGTTTACAGATGGAGCTATATAACTGATTAGAAGAACGCAGAACAAGATACGGAGTATTCAACAATTCCTTTCAACATGGTTTATTGTATTGGTCTAATTAAAATTTACAGCTTAATATAACTATACATATATTATAATTGATTCAATTCTGAATATAAAGTGCATATAATAATGTTCTTTATTTACTGCTTTCCGTATTATATAAAGAAAGGTCAGAACTGCATGTTTTAATTATACTTGTTATAACTGTAATTGTGATGAATATAATGACTGAAAAAGTAGTGGTTAGTCAGCCAATGGGATGAATAAAGTCCAATGACGTAAGATCAAATGATGCGATGTTTCATTTGTACCAGTTTGTGCTGCGATGTTTCCTTCACACGCTTTCATTCCTCTGGTTACTCTTCAGCGTCTACAGTCTACGGTTTCAGTGCGACGGGTGCGTCGCGTCAATTGTGATGGTAGTAGTATCATAAGAAAAGTTATTTCCTCGCTTAAACTGTGTTATATCATTAGAAATCACGGTAGGTACGATAATATTAATACACGCTCAATTTGTAATATGTATTCTTTCGTCTTTCAATATTATAATACCTTGACATCATTACAGTCATTTTAAGACATTGATCAATGCTATGTGATACATGGCGCGTTTTTTCAATTCGTATCGCCATTTACGTCTTCTGCTTTTTATTTCAGTAAACCATCATGTTTACTCTGTTCTACATAATAACGGCATTAATAATATGTAATGTTACAAACGGTGATCTTAACAATAAGTTACAGTGCAGAGACGAAAATAATGCAGCAGTAGATTGGTAAGTATTTATAGAATTTCTTCCAAACCGGTTTTAGTATAACTGTTTTAATTATGTTCATGGCATGAGAACGATAAGAGATATATTTTAAGAAATAATGTGATTGTCATTTGAAAGTAATGCTACTTTAGGTATGTGCTTTACAAGTTACCAAAAGTTCATACGAGCAGTAATCCTCTGATTAGAGAAGGTCATGCTTATCTGTACATAACAAATGCGACGATCGAATCTGGTTGGCGATTGTCGACCAAATCCATCGGTTCTAACGATTCTATCCCTGGAATCACATTAGCGCCGCTTTACAATCGTGTAAGCATTTAGCGAACGTTAATTACCATTAGATTTCGTTGACGACAATCGAATTATTGCATGAACAGTTAGAGGGAATTCCTTTCTCACTTTTGTCGTACAGAGCAGCGAGGAGGATGCTTTATGGAATTTATATAACGATAGCCCGCCGAACGCATCGTACGTGTGGAACCATGGGCATACAAAAGGTGTAGTGATGGTAAATAGTGATCAGGGCTTTTGGTTAATTCATAGCGTTCCGAGTTTTCCTCCGGTGCCGAGAGCCGGTGTGCAAACTCGGCCGTTAAACCTGGAAAATGTAACTATCGAAGGCGCGTACAGTTATCCGGATAGCGGCACGTTTTACGGGCAAAGTTTTTTATGCGTTTCTCTCGGCGGCGATCAGTTCAATATCGTCGGCGAACAATTAATGTACAATGAAATCGGGGTGTACGCGAAGAATATACCAGAAATCCTTGGCAAGCAGTATCCAGCGTTAAAGAACGCGACTAATCAGAAGCGCATTAAACAGCCCCCTTACAACCATAAAGCTCTGATAACGACGTTGGGATCTCTCGAACTTACCTCGTTCGCCAAGTCCGGAAAATGGGGAAAAGGTGATTAAATCGTGTTCCTGAAATTTCGCCTCTCGCTTCGTTGCGATTTATTCGAATTCTATGCGCAGATCTCTACGGTGATTTCGTTGCGCCACAATTGCAGTCGGACTTGTACGTCCAATCGTGGCTGAACGGCCGGGGTAAACTGCCGACAACTTGTCATCGTAGAAAGTAAAATCGATTTCAGATACCACCACAGTCCCTTTCAGTTGTTTCGTTTTTTTAACAAATTGACATCAATTTTTCAGAATATACAATGTAAAAACTCTTAAAGTCGACGCGGCAAACGTAGACTTTCCTAGTAGCCGCGATCATTCCAAATGGGCCATCACGGTCAACACAAAATCATCGAATCATTGGGCTTGTATTGGCGATATTAACAGAGCTGTAAATATGATTTTCGTGATCGATATACTTTAGTTATTCTGCCTATTGTCTACCGAATTTTATTTTTTATTCAGGACACGCAGTATTCTCGAGGCGGTGGGACCGTGTGCTTTGAGGACGACCGTTTGTGGAGAGATTATCGCGACATTGTGAATGACGTGGAGCCTTGTCACAATACGTATTGACTTCAGTAAATTGTACCATTAATTCGTAATTTCTGCAATAAACATTAATCAAATATGCATATACATGTGTGGAAAGTGCCTGTTCCCTTCCATCCTTAGGGCACACACAAGTGTGCAAAGACGCGTTATAGTAAAATAATTGACGACGACGCATCGATCGATTTAGTATTATGTGCAGTGTGTTCGTCAATATGCATCGTAAAGTTTCGCAACACCGTCAGAAGTATACAAAGTAATAACCGTCATATATATTAACTGCAGTTTACTTGCAAGTGTATAAAGAAGAGGTCTCGGTGGCTCTTTATTACTGTGCAATAAGGACGAACGACGGGGATCAGAAGCAGTTCTTAAATTGGATTTTATGAAAGGCAGTAGCGGCTCCTCTTGCACTGACTCTCGTCGTTTCGTCTTTCTTTTTCCTCGGCTTATTGTCTACCTAAGGAAATTGCAGAGTAGCTCGACGTGCCGTTAATGAAAGCAAAAAAAAAGAAAAGTTTCCGAGGTTTGGTAAGCGGAAAGAGACGAGGAACGATTTGCTCTTTAATGAAAATTCCGAGAAATCGGTTGAACTTCGGCCCGCTCTTTACCGCCCGTTTCAAGTTCTTCAATCTCTTTGATAGGCTTTGTTTCAGAGATTTCTTTCCTCAAGGAGGGAAAAAAACTTGTCTAAATACTGCATCGGTAAAAGCTGTTTCCAATTATCAACTATAATTACTCGCTCTAATTGCAACCTTATAGCTTCTTGAAAAACTCTATCCTAAAAGTACATTATATACGAGCAAAAGTGTAAACACACTTCGCCGGTTTTATAAAAAAGGCGATAATACGACTAATTTTTCAGTTGATCGGAAAAGATTAAGTAACAGAGAAGAGAAGGTACACATCGGTAAAAAAGTAACAGTAATTACAAGGTGCATCTTCTTAACGAAATGTAATAGTTTATTGTCATTAATATTCATATTGTGCAGAAGATTTTACAAAAATAGAGATCTCAAACAATGTTCATAGTTTTGCTCGTTTCATCAGAAACGCTTATCATAGCGTGTAAATATCAAGACAATAAAACTGATTATTCACTACTTCGCAGTCAACTGTTTCACATCAATATTAGATTACTGTTCAGTTTACACACTGTTTAATACGCTTAATCTAAGGTGAAGCGACTAAGTGAAGACAAGAAGAACAGTATTATTTGTTTATGTGATAAAGGTCTGTCGTTGTGGTAAACTGCAGAGAAATGTGATGTCAGTCATACGATAGTTGCAAGAATAAGAAAATACTATGGTAGTGCATCAATTTCTTCACAGAAAATTAGACCGCGCCTTACTTCGGACAGAGCAGCTTGTGAAATCGCACATCGTATTCGGTCGAATAAGTATAACAGTTTGTTAATAAGATGCACCTTGTAATTACTATTACATAATCTTTGCGGAACCATTGAAAAGGTAGTCGTATTATCGCCTTTTTTATATAACCGGTGAGATGTGTTTACACTTTTGCTCGTCACTGTACACAAGCTTATATTCTACAGATTCTCAATATTCTGTATAAAGAGTAAAGGTACATTGTATACGATGTACAAGGATCCCTGTTCATTGCAGTACAATGGCAAATAATCAAATACGAACAGAAATACGCAAGATGGGTGATCTAGGTAAGCTATTGTACGTAGGCATCTCCATGTACAATGTACGATCGAAATTTTCAATAGAATGGAATCCACGTGTGATTATCCTGAAGAGTGAAAACATTTTATCGTGTATTGATAAAAATAATCAAAGGATTTCTTATTTCGCGTTTGACATGTTTGCTCTGAGAACAAAGAACGTGAATAGGATCGACACGGGCTTGTCAATCGGTAGAGAAACGTTAGGTCAGGATAACGGCGGATGCATATAGAGAGGGTGGAGATAAACAGGTCCGGATGAAAAAGTCGATAAACAGGGGAGCGGAGAGAGTTAAAATACGTGGATGTTCATTCGGGCGTGAATCAAGCGGCGCATGCTGCCAGGAGACAAAACAACGATGAAAACAAGAAGCGGGGGAGTTCGGCAAAGCATCTGGAGGCGGATACTTGGAAAAACAAGCTGGCTGCCGCTGAAAGGGGATTAAGAGTAGGAACGCTCGGATTCCTTTAATACAGAACTGACAGCTGGCAACGTTTGGTCAATTTCTTAAAGCCTCGTTTTATTTGCCGTATTTGCATATTCAGCAATAATTCAAATCAACATTCACACATTACGTTATTCATCAATCATTACAGAAATTGTTACATGAAGTATTGTATTAACTTTTATTGTAATACCATATTTATGAACAGCGATACAATTGATGCAAATGGCAGTATTTCATTGTATAGAGAGGAATACAAATGACTGTGATAGTGGCTTGCGTATGACAAGTTTGAAGAAACTGCGAATCGAACGAAACGTCATCGACGTGAGGTACGCAAAATTTCGCCTCACGTACGGTTTCGAGTTGTCGTGCTCGATGGGGCGCAGATTTCGTTTGAAACACATAGTAGCGGTGCCGTAAAAGGGCATGAAATTTCGGCGGCTGGAAAGATGAGAAGACGGCGACGGTGCGCGCTGCGGTGTTCGCAGCGATATTTCAGCATTAAAGGCACCCTGTTCTGCATACTAAAATCCTGTGCACCGTCCAAATATACGCGCTACGTTATATGCATGAAACCATCGTGTCGTGCCTCGGCTCGCGTGTGTACTTAAGCACACTGGGCGAGGGAAGCGCGTGCGCCAGTTTCCGTCGTGCTTTTTCCTTGCCGCTCCGGGTACCAACATCCTGCACCCTTTACCACCTACACACACTTTCGCTTCTATAGTTTATACGCTATATACGTGTATCGTGTGGAGGAAGCTCTACGTGAACTGTAATATTGCCTTATACCTATTCATATCGTGTGTGAGTGCGCGCGCGAGAGAGAGAGAAATCGTATCCTAGTGGCTCCTTTTAGTTGGAAATGAGGCGTCTGCTGGCTTTTACGTACGTAACGAGATATCAACTGGAGAATCGTTCTTGCGGTTCGCGGCCGCTATGGGTTGCCACGTTTTATTAGGTAAACAAAGACGTATAATCGTTTTATTATCAATTTTTATAATTAGATCAGGTTTCGAGATTCTTGACGACAGTTTCCTTTTTTAACATTTGAACTTCAGGCCTCATAATTTGGGGAATTATTTACTTATCGAAAATGAAAGTGTGAAAACGATAAGTAATTTATGCGAAGATTCTAATCGATGTTACACGTGTCTCCAAATTCGAGCGCTATGCATATGTAACAGAGGTCTGTAGACAAAGTTTAATATTCATACTGTCATACTTCAGTGCGGTTTTCCTCTGTTACTCGAGAAAATGAGTCATGTTCAACTCAAAGTTACTATTTCCGTTGATATTACGCTGCATGATTAATAATTATTATCTGTCTCTGCGATATCACTTTTTGCTGATTGTGTGACTTTAAACACGCGTCGATGCATCGTGAAGGTTCTGTAATACAAGCCTATCTACTTATACTCTTTGTTCAGTCATGGGCCGGTTAATACTCTGTAAACCGGAGCTCCGTATAATTTTCATTAAATAAGAACAGTCGCCAATTAAGTCAAACTTCGATCGAACACACAATCAAAATTTAATTACGATGTTTGTTGATCTGATTTGATACCAAAGCAAAATTAGGTCACTGTGTACGTATACACTATGTGAACACCTGTTATATGCATCACAGAGGATCGACGAACACTCAAGTTTTAATAGCATGTTCAACCCATATTCTACAAGCGTAATATTTCAGTAACACTTTCACAGCCCAGTACAGCATGATCGTAAAACATCGTACAAACTATCGAAAATTTTGTTTTGGTTCGTGCAAAAAAAAAAAGGGAAAAACAATTTTAAAGATAATAGATTGTTGAGAACTAATCAAACTGTAGCGGAAGCAGGATCGCGTAATAGGTTTAATAAAGACAAATGTATAAGTGTTAGTCGAAGATAGGGGGTTTATTGTTGCGCGACTATCGCCGCTGTGCGAGGAACTGCATTAAGGCGGTACGAACTATCGGGGGAGGTTCCTATGTAGTTGCAACATCGCCCGGGAAACTACCCCGAACAACTGTCTCGGCGTAACCGAACTCGAATGCATCACCGTAGTTTCAACCCGGAGCTTCCGGTACTTAGCGAGAGAACTTATCAGACAGCGGAAGTGTCGTTGACTCATAACCGCCGAATTACTACTTCCGCATTGCCCGAATCCTCCTGCGTTAATCATATTTCTTTTATACGCACCATAGTTATTAGAGACGACAGTATTTATGCAGTTGGAATATTTATTAGGGCATGTGCGAGGAAAGGGTTAAAGTCACGAGAATGGAAGGGTTGCGTTGGATTGGTAGAAAGAAGAACGTGAACTACGAATGCGAGGCAGTCCACTCTCGCGGAGAGACGCGGCGGAGAATAATTCAAGTAGTAGGTAGAATATGGAAGGATAAGGGCGAGGGCTGCGTGGGCGGTGGAAATTGCGGGTGGCAGGGGTAAAGCTGCAGCACTCCGCTTAGACAAAGCCTAACGAAGCTTCTATTCAGCAACAGTAGGCACCGCGAGGCCCAACTTCACTTCTATTATACTTACTCGTCGGCACGAAGTGAATTCCATCCATCAACGGAATTCCAGGCTAAGCAGCTCTCGGCTGCTGCCTGGCATCTCCATCTCTGGCACGAGAGGCATTCTCTCCTTTTTTGGGGTTGCGTCCTCTTTGTCTTTATCTCGCCGACTAAAGTACCCGCTCTTTTTTCCCATCTATTTGTTTTTCAACGTTTTCCGCGTAGCCTGCGCGAACCGCGTGCACGGGGCGTTAATAGAAATTTTCCACGCTTTCGGAAAATCGGTTCTGCGTCAGTGAAGTTAGATCGAAAATGTTAACGAAAATTCGATTCGAAGCAGCGTTTTCGAGAAAAACGACTTCGGAAATCCGTCAAACGCAGGTGTATTGATGTTGGAAGTCCGTGGCGGGCGGCCACGTAGAATTTTCGTCACGCAACAGGCCTTTACAC